GCGTGGCTTGACGTGTGTCAAGCGTAACACAGACGGATGTAACGGAGAATCCGGTAGTTTTTCAAAATAAAACATTTTTCGTATTCCGAAATAAATAAAACGGAATTAAGGCAAGTTCTTTCTGTGCGGCCCGGTACCAAATGCCCGGCGGACTGGTACCGGTCCGCGGACCGGCGGTTGGGGACCCCTGCTTTAGCCTATCCCAGCTGTCTTCGGGAAGTAGGCAGGTGACACCCGATTGGCGCACACACAGATGAATAACCATCCACGCTCATTAGGGTGGTCCATTTTGGAAAAGTTTGTCGGATTCGTCGGGCCGGGTCGGAAATCTTGTCGATACTATGACACAAGGATGTGTGCAAAATTTTATTCCGATCGGATAATTTTATCCCGTCCCGCAGAGCGACCAAAGTTTCCCCTATGGAAAGAATGTTACGGGGCTGAATGGTAGTACGGTTTCTCCCGTACAGTAAGGATTTTGTTTTGCTCAGTTCGCACTTGCAATAATTCAAAGACGGAAGACAGGAACGCATGTATTGCAAAAAAGGCAACCGTGGTGATCCTGCAACACTGGTGAGATTGTTGGTCCATGTTAACTGGTCCATCTGTCTATCTGTACATCTGTCTACATCGCGCGACTGTCTGGAAGTGATCCGATCCGTTTTGCATTTTTTTCAGGCCGGGAGTGGTGCCTTCAATTGAAAGATATTAGCTCGCCAGTAGGTGACCGTTGTGTGTTAGGCGTGCGTTTGAGTTTGTCTCCGGCTGCTGAGAGCAGCGATGGAATGGTTAGTTAGTCAGGAGGTGATCGTTCGGGCAACATTCAGCCCAGCCAGTGTCACGCATGGCAAAATACACGGTTAAAATACACATGTTCACCCTATTGAGACCAGTTGTTATGGTGGAAACTTTGGCCGCTTTGCGGGACGGGAAAATATCATCAGATCGGAATGAAGTTTTGCACAGAACCTTGTACCATAGTATCGACAAGAATTCCGACCCGGCCCGACGAATCCGACAAACTTTTTTTTTTGCCATGAAAATGTGGACCACCCTAACGCTCATACACACCTAGGGACAATTTAGAGGTTCTTAGACCTGGGTTCTATCGAACTCGAGGGGTATGAGGGAGCATCTGCCAAGGAGGTTAAGACATATCCTACTCAACGTGTCAATTAGTTATGACACGCCCGCTTGGCCGTCATTGGCTGCAGGTGATCACATTACATTGCTTGTCCAATCAGTGCTGCGGGAAATTTAGTTCGCTCAGTAGTCAGTGTGTGATTGTATACATCGAAAATTTTAAAAAAACTTATAATTATGTCTTGATATTTTATTTACTTTTTTCTGTTTTTAATAAACGCGGTTTTTATGTATTGAATTTGTAAAAAGTCATATTTTTGTTTTTCACTAATGTCAGGTTTCGGACAAGCCGAAATAAGTTTGGATCCCAAAAGTGTAGACTCCAACAAGGTCTCCGTTACAAAAATGTTTAATACAAAAAATTCGAACCGACAAAGTAGAAGGAGGCGAGGTGGGAGGAGGAGCCAGGGGACTAGTAGCCACCGGTTTGAGCAGGGAAACGTGGAAAACGGGGTGAACCTTCATGGTGGGCGGCAAGCGGAGCTTGACGGAGACGGGGCTGACGACCGACTCCACTGCGAACGGTCCCGTGAAGCGAGGACACAAATTGCCC